CTTTTGGAAAGGATACGACGGCATATCACGTAAGATGACCCACTTCTTCTTCCAAACCCCAAATGTTATTTCAATTACCCCGCGTAAAGATGAGTGGCGTTTATTAAACATTTCCTTTCTGTCACGGACGGTGCCACTTGCTCGCTCAAAATCAGGAAGATGATATTGTGTGTCAGGATAGAGCTTCAGGTATCCCCTTTTCATATGATACACATTTCTAATACGAAAAACACTGTTAAGTAAAAAGATTACATGCTCAAATAAACAAATTGCAAAGCAAAATTAACCTGATGGGGGTGAGGGAAACACTGCGATCTATTCCTAATGTCAAATGAGAAAATCTGACTGTCATGTGCACTCCCTTCCCAGCCCGCTACTACAAAAGTAAAGCACATGATGAAGTCGCATACAGCCATGACATTCTGAGTTGTTGAATCACTCCGACCGATGTATGCAACCTTCTCGTGGATGGGTAGTCGGGCAACAACGTGTGTACCGTCAATTGCACCAATACAATTCTATTTAATTATTTGTTAGATAGTAATTATATTATTAATCGTATGACAAGTTATAAAATAAAACCACTCATAGTTACCTTGAAATATGACATGTATCGAGAATCACGGGCAATTTGTTCTGGAGTGGTAGCAAATGATGGATCATCCAGTTTAATTATTTTAGTTGCTAAGCTAACAAGAGTCTGTATGTCTTTAAAAAAGTAACGATTTATTATTTCAGAAGAATATTGAAATCTTTTGATAGCTCCTCTAATTGATTCATTTTGTGATTCGTTTTGTGACAAAATGTACAGTGTTATAGCCAACACCCTACACGTCGTTCTGGAAGAACCGTGGAGGCCGTGATTTAGGCATAACTCGTGCAAAAGATCCATAAAAATTGGTGTTGTCATTCTGAAAATATTTCTAAACCTTATTGGATAGCCAGAAAGCATTTCATCAACCCATTTGTCTCCAACAAAGTTGGATGTCATGTGTCCGGTAATAATCTAACAACAATATCGCAATGGTTGTAGCAAATGCCATTCTCCTACGACGCACACGTACGCAATCCATCCTAAATAATATAAGATGTAAACATAATTTGGATCCATCCTTAAACATAATGAGTGCATAAATAATTAATGCATAATAAGATATTGCTACAACAATACCAAATATTAATTGTTCAAATTCAGAACATATAATACGCAACTTATAAGTAAAACATCAACCACTAACAGGTACATATGTAGAAGGTACAAACATATTAAAAAAAGATAACATGAATATAAGTTCCAAACATTTTTAAAAAAATCGACATAACGACATAAGTAAAAGTTGATATTACTGTAACAAATACATATACAATACAAAAAAAAAATATGATTCCTCAACCAAAACCCGCAAATATTCGAGCCTCAATTCAGGCTCTAGCGCCATGAATATTTTCATTCGAGTTGAATCCTCAAGTTTTTTCACACACTGTGCGTGAAATCATTTGTCGGGCACAACTTCAAGAATAGTGCCCAAAAGTCTGAGACAGTCTAATATATTACAATCAGATATTGGTGGAGCTGCAAAAGCTTCAATTAAACGATCAAAGGAGGTGTTCACAGAATGTTCCTTCTCTTTATTTTTCTTAGTAATCCTTGGCCTCATTAAAATTGTACTGGACTCCACCATATTCCTCTGGTTAATGTTATGCACTTCTTCATCGGGAGTCAATGGCTCAGGTGCGATCTCATCTGGTCTCCCTGTAAAACCGCTTTCAGTAGGGTTGAATGAAAACTTTCCCGTTGCGACAACCCATTTAAACATTATGTCCAGTTTCTCTTCAAATTCCGGCTCTATTCCGCACTGTTTGTACTTCTTCGCTGCTGGTACCGCCTGTGGCATAACATTTAGAGGGGATATTTAGAAAATTATAATTAGAGGAAACAATTTGCGAAGCTAACAATTCATGGATTATATAGAAATTTATTTCTAGTTTTTCAGCCCACCATTCAACTGGAGCATCAATTGTCCTTTTAATCGGATCCCAACCCAAGGTAGATCCACGTTTCAACTCCTTCCATATTTTTCATTCCTTCTTCAACTGGTCCCGCTTGTTTTTAAATTTAAGCCGGTTGTAATCACTGTCAGTCAATTCTTTGAATCTCTTAGCAATGTTTAGTCACCATTCCTTATTAAAATACGTTGTTGGTCTGTTCCCCAGTTCCATTTCTTTAATACACAGATCGCAAAAAGTATTTATAACGTCTTTATCCCACATTGCACCCCCTTCAACCACTTTAGACATGATTCAACAGCAGTGTCGTGTAACTATTTTGAATAAAAACATATTAAGAATAGCTTATTGCTAAAAATGAATCAACATCCATACATGCGTGGAATCAACAAAATGCAAAAAAAAATGAACCAACATCCACATAATTAACCAACAGCAGTGTCGAGATTTGCTAAAAGGAAAAACAACAAAAAAAAATTACACAAAAGATTTATGTGGTTTGATCAAAGACCTACATCAACAGCAAAATATTGAACATGCTTTATTATCCAATTATGTAAGAGTACACTGCTATGATTATCCGTGGAGAACACTACTACAACTATCAAGTACATGTGTAATAAGCAACTTCTAATATATGTCATGGAATCCAATTCTACCGAAGCCACCATATTGTGTATTCCTAAATGCAACTTCTCATACATGTCGAGGCACAACTACTGCGACAGTTGCCATATAGAAATTTTTAATGCAATAACATAACGCCATATATTCATCTGCAACACATTTTCATCTCCAGCTGTCATATATTCAGCTCTCATACACACTCATTTTTTTATCAAACTGCATTCAATGAAATTGCTTTTCACGAAGCTATTAGAGGTTGCATCCTATTGTTGTACCAAAATGAAATATGTAGCACTTTAAATGCATTCAAAACAGTTTCGAGTCATACATACATCTCCAGCTGTCATATATTCAGCTGCCATACACACTCATTTTTTGATAAAACTGCATATCATTGAAATTGCTTTTCATGAATCTATTAGAGGCTGCATCCTATTGCTGTACTAAAATGAAATTTGTAGCACTTCAAATGCATTCAAAACAGTTTCGAGCCATATATTCATCTCCAGCATGAAATTTACAAATGAACAGATAAATGCCATCAATGGATGAATGTTACAAATGAACAACAATAGAATCCAACAGATAAAAGGTGCAGCAACCGAAACAGGAATTTTGCCATTCTATTCAAGGCAAAATTCTATTCAATGAATTTTGCCATTCTATTAGAGGCTGCATCCTATTGTTGTACCAAAATGAAATTTGTAGCACTTTAAATGCATTCAAAACTGTTTCGAGTCATATATTCATCTCCAGCATGAAATTTACGAATGAACAGATAAATGCCACCAATGGATGAATGTTACAAATGAGCAGCAATAGAATCCAACAGATAAAAGGTGCAGCAACCGAAACAGGAATAAGAGCCATATATTCATCTCCAGCATGAACTTTTGAATGTTACAAATGAACAACAATAGAATCCTCCCCAATGTCATATCCATTACCATTATTAACATAAACCGAAACAGGAATTTGCGACCAATGGGAATTGCAATGAATACATATATATATGCAGCTCATAAACGGGATCCTTAATAGCAGCAGTTTCATGAAACAAGTTTAGAACTATGTTTCCTATAAACAAGAATTATTTGCAGCCCATAAACATCAGCTAATGAACTTGGAAAAACAAGAAAAATTTCTTCCTTCTATACAGATGCTCACAAATTGTTCCTTGCTCTGCGTATAGAGACCTTGTCTATGCAAAAATTAGGAAAAATCGAATGGAGCAGAAATATTCGAAACAAAATTCATTCTAAACAGTTGTTGATAAATGATTCCATGCTACAAAATTTTTTTCACGCCTAAAGAAAAAACAAAAGTAATTTTAGGGCAAAGAAATCCACTCGCATTGTTGGAGTTTGAAAACAACGAAAACGACGATGGCATAGAAATCTTCGATCAAGTAAAAAGTAAGGTTTACGGTCGGATCTATATAAATAAACAACGTTCGCACATCTATAAAGAACTATTTACGGCCACCGACGTTCGATCGCTCTAGAGGAAGCATTCCTTACGAATTGACGGTGAGGGAAAGCATACCTTGCGATTGACGGGGGGCGAATTGAAAGGAAACTCTTTGATCTCCTCTACGGGGGACGAATCCAGGGAGGGAGAGCGCGAGGGAGAAGAGGGGCAACTAGGGCAATATCACAAGTCGAACGCGGGACGCAGCCCCCACCCCGCGTCACAAAACTATTAAGGATTCGCAAAATTTAACGCACTGCGGCAAGGATAATCAACGCGAACGCCCTTTCCAAACACGAAGGCGGCGTTTTGAAAACAACGCCGCACCTAAATAATCTGCCCCAAACGGGCCCTTAATGCTCTCATGAATGGTGTCGGTCTCCGCTCAAACAACACCTGCACTGCAAGTGTCGTTACCAATGGAGTTTTTTTTTCTATTAACTAATTTATTTAATCTTTTTAAAATTGTTTATTATTACAACACCGTCTTCCGGCAGCCGCACCGGCCTTCCAGTCCTATTCGTGCTACCAACAGCTAGGGCCCGACCTTGCTGCTGCCCAGCCCCTCCAAGGCCTGTTCCTACTGTTGTCCAGCCCCAGGCACCGGTCTTGCTGCTGCCCCTACCAATGTTTTTTGCGGCTATCCAGTCCCCCGCCACCTATTCTACTCCTTTCTACTTGCTGCAGCCTCCTCTCAACAAGCCTCAACCCTCCTATGTCATCCAACGCCGCTGCCACCTGCTTTTATCCATCCACCATTTGCCGTCGCTTCCTTCCCACCCGGGCCTACTGCCCTCCTCTACGGAACCATTTGTGTTTTGTGTTGTCTCTTTTCTTTTTTTTGCAGTCGTCGTCTCTGCTTGCCATCTTTTATATTCGCGTAATTATTTTCCTATTGGCAAAGACTATTTGTAACCCTTTTGAATTTCAGTATTAATATTAGTATTTCTGTCGTGATTTAGGTTAACTCTAGTATCATCTTGTATTGGTTATTTACATCTAAATAAATAGTGGAATTATTTAATTATTGGCGAAATGTTAATCTTCAATTTTCTTTGCACGTAGTCATACTAAGAATCACATTAGTTATGTTAAGAAACCTTAACTTTGAGTCATTGTGTGTAAAAAAAATCAAATGTTGAGAATTTCGTTCAACTTCTCTCCCAAAAGATTATGAGAAATAACTTCAGCAATTCAAACATCTTGGACATTGAAAATTTCACGATGGGAATGCTTACAATTACACACAAATTAAATTAAACTCTTGCCTAAAAATAAATTGGCAGTGTGAAAACTCCATAGCATTTAAAAAATTGGAAAAAAACGAATTAGAGATTTATTCCCACCAATAAAGGAGATATGTACCAACATTAATTAAAGTTCAAAGTTTCTCACCATGAATGGTTTGTATATCTGACCAATATCATGAACATAATTGGAATTATTGCTGCAATAAAGTGGAAACCTGTTTTTTTTTTCAAGGAGATCTATCACATAACAGAAAAAAGTTATTTCTTCAAAAAATAAGCAGCTCAAAATATAAATTCTACAACCCACCTATAATCCATTGGAGAGCCACATTTCGTACAACCCAAACAGATAAGATCTTCCATAATCCTGGTCTTATCTATCTTCAGTAAAGTCTTCCTCAAAAACATTTGTTCTTTAGCTTCATCGTTTCTCAAAGATGACAAAAAAATTTCACCGATGAAAGCATGGAAAACTACTTTACATGAGTTATGAAGGCATAGCACATCAGTGATGGATAAAATGTTCCTTGGCTTCGGATCTTCGGGTGACTTCCAATTTTTAGGTACTTGTACGCTACTCTGCTTCACCATTAATTTGATTGAAAAAAAAAAAGATTATTTACAAATAAATATATATCCTCTTTTTAAATATCCAGGCTAAAAATTTGAAGACCAACAATAACAAATTAAGAAGCAGTAACACTTCTTTTGGTAAATTCCAATTTTAAGATGTTCAATTCAATTCTGCAGCAATCACCAATTGAGTAGAGAACCCAAAAAAAAAAAAAAAAAAAAAAAACATTAACATAAAAGCATCAAGGAATACATTAAGTCATTAGAAGTAAATTTCTAGCAAAAGAAATGAAGATCATAAATATCTTATTAAGAATTAACATTCATAAACTTTCATAAACTTTATATAAAAAAACTAAACCCAGGATGTGATGCTGAAGTTGAACTCCCAGTTCTCATTAATGAAAATCTCAAATCCACTAATGAACTTTTAAGGAAGTGAATTCACCTGAACAATTCAGTTCTTTTTATTACTTGGTTGTTTTGTCAATCATCTCTCCTATTCATCTTCTATGCCTCAAACTTTGATATCAGTTAGGCTAGTGAAATGGTAGTCAAAAGAATGGATTAAACCAAGCCTATAGATCTACCATTGAAATCAAGAAACCGTGTGGATTAGTGACAATCTTTTATATGCCAACAGTACTTGTACACTATTCTACTTGCATCTTCAATTCAAGAATCCTACTCAAAGCTTGTTCAATACATATTCAAACTACGTTCAAATTTTGCAAGAACAAGATTCAAAAAAATGGTTACAACATGGTTCCATTAACCATATTGCTTAAACCAAGGCCTTGTCCGAATTATATTCAAACTAGGGTGGGTTGTGATGAACTGTAAAATATACTGTAATTAAAAAACAAAGATATTTTAGTTTGATACAGGCAAATTTCTCAAATTAAAGATATTACAGGGTAACGTCAAAATTTTCCTTAAAAAAAAAAAAAGTAAGGTATGCTGTGATAATGAAGAACAAGGGTTTTATTAGCGCAACTACCTCACCAGCTCCAAAATACTGCATAACTAAAGCTCTCTCTTGTGTCTTTTCTCATTTTCTCACTTGCTTGCAAACTCTCTCTCTTTATTTTTTCTTTCCTCACATCTCTTTCTTTGTGCCACAACTCTCACCTCATCAGATTACTTCTCGCTGCTCCTGACACAAAAGCTTGCTTGCTAACCCACCTAAGTAAACCTATTTCCCTCTTTCCCACCTTTCTCACATCCCTTCAGCTTCCAATTTGACCCTTTTTCTCTTCTGACTCTTTTTGTCTTTTGCCAATCTACTTTAATAAAAACCAAGTTGAGGCGCCACATTTCTCCTCTCTTTTCCTTCCTCTCTTAAAACGCTTTAGCTCGCCACTATAAAGCCACTTCAGCTCCAGCCTCTAATGCCACAACCAACACCTAATCAATCGAAGTTCTACAATCATAAGCAATATGGTAATTTGTCATTTATTTACGATTAAATTTGATTTTAGCAGTATCTAAAAAAGATTATCCATTATAAAAAGGGATCCAAGAGGTGTGAATGAAATGATTCTTGGAATGCTTCTTCAATTTTTTAGATTCCGTGGCTCATTCTCTCATTTAGTTAACCTTTCACCAGAATCAATCTTACATGATAGAATCCTTCATAGAATGTAAATGCCATCATGAATATCAGTTAATAACAGCTAATACGGGAAGCAAAAACTAATAAACTTGCTGATAAAAATAAGAAAAAAATGCACATTCTTAACCAACTTGTTGGAATCATAAAACCGTTTGAGGCATAAATCAAAGATTCTTAAAAAATCTATATTAACCTACAGATTTCTGCACCTACTAAAGGGATAACAGTAATAACTGAGAAATAAATAAAATTAATAATAAAATTATAATTGTTAGAAGTTCCAATCAGTGCAGCCGTTTTGGGTGAGAACGAAAAGCCTCGATAATTATTGTTTTAAGGAGAAGTGTTGCATTCGAAGCACAGAAGTGAACAGTCAGAGAGAACGAGACTGGAGGCAGAGAAGAAGGAAGGAGACTTAGATAGATCGAGAGTCGGAGGAGGAAGAAGAAGAAAGAGAAATGCTCACCTATGAGGACGAAGCCAAAGGAAGAAGACGCCGGCTTTGATCATGAATGACTTAACTTGGACCTGATCAACATGTATGAAGGCATGAAGATCGGCGAGTGCAAGCTGGGCTTCCCCACGCATCGATCGAAGTCGAAGGCGATAGTGATGACAACAAAACGTGCGTACGCTGCAATCAAGTGAAGAAAGGAAGTGAGGAAAAGACACACGTGTTGAGTGCGGTGCACCATGCATAGGGTTGTAAACGAGTCGAGCTCAGCTTGTCTGCGAAATTGTGAACTCAAGCTCGAGTCAGGCTCGAGCTCGGCTTGTAGTGTTAGCAATCGGCTCGCGAGCTCGAATTAAAAATTCAGTTTTAACGGAAGATCAACAAAGAAGGTATTGGTGGCCGAAGGAGGAGAAAGCAGCGGCAAACTCATCGGAAAATGTATCAAAATGACTAAAAATAGGCTACTCGAGCAAGATCGCAAGACAACGTGCCAAGCTAGGACAAGCTTGATAACCTCGACTTGTGAGCTCGTTAAAGAGCCCAACTCGAGTTGGAAGCAGGCTCAACTCATTTACACCCCTTGCCTTGCATACATGAAAGAGGGGCGTGTTGATTTGAACCCAAGCGTGCAGGAGAAGGGGAATCGAATTTGAGCGTCCTTTGTGTGCGAAGGAAGAAAGTGGAGGATTGCATGTGTGGGAGGCTTCGACACTTCGTGTGAGCAACTTCATGCGATAAGGGAAGAACTGAAGTCAAACTCAACAATCCTTACTACCTTGCACGCACAAAAAGTGAAGAGCCGAATGAATCAATAAAGTTGGAGATTTAGCATATTAGTTATAAATTTAATATATATGTCTAATTATTTAAATATTAAAAATAAACTTAAAAAAAATTAAACTTTAAAAATCTAATCAGGAGAGGTGATCGAGGAAAGAGCAAACAAATAAATTTAATTAAGGTAAGTTCTACATAGGATGCGTTTGGGTCAGCTTTTTAGTTGCGACGTGGCGAGAAAATGCATGTCGGTGGCGTTTGGAAAGAACTTTGTGATTGCTTTGCAGCTTAATTGAGTAAATTGCGGGTTCAACCCTGTGGCCTGTATGTCGTTCGTGTATGATCTCTCGATTGCCCTTGAACCCCCGTGCTTTGCTCGACTCTTTGTGTTCGACCCACCCGCCCTAGCTTCTCCTCCTCTCCTCCCTATCCCTCTGTGAGTGGCATGATAGGGTGCCCTTTACACTCCAATGTAGACCTCCATAATTCAAGTTTTTCCTAAACTCTTTCTCTAGACTTATCCACAAGAAGGATATGATCAGCAAAAAACATACACTAAGGTACATCCTCCTATAAATATCGAGTAAGAGTATCCGTAACTAAAGCAAGAAAGATATGAGCTTAAAGTCGATCCCTAATTTAATCCAACTGAAATAGAAAAATACTTGGTCAATACTCCAATTTGAACACAAGTAACAACTCTAACACCTTTCTTCTCTAGAATGCCCCAAAGGACTTCTGTTAGATCTTTATTATAAGCTTTTTCCAAATCAATAAAAATCATATGTATATCCTTTTTATTCTCAATGCACTTCAATAAATGTATAGCTTCAATAGTAGACTTGTCCGGCATAATCCAAACTAATTATGAGAAATTTGTGTCATGTCTTAGGGTTCGTTTGGGGCAGCTTATTTGGTGCAGTGACGTTTTGAAAACGCACCTGGTCTGATTGGATAAACTGCATTTTGGCAGCTTATGCGTTTAAAAATGCTGAAAGCAACGTTTTCACAGCGCACCTATCTAGGTGCAGTGGCAGTTTTCTGACAACGGTCTGGCTTTTCCAAAAAAATAAAAATTTGTAATAATCACTGCACATATCTTATCAGCAGATTATTTTTAATCAGTTTTTCAGCAAAGTATTCAATAAGCTGCAGCTGCCCCAAACCGGCCCTTGATCTATGTTTGATCACCCTCTCCCATAATTTTAAAGTATAATGCATCAACTTAATTCATCTATAATTTGCACAGTTGTGCATCTCATTTATTCTTAAAAATGAGGACCAAAATACACTTCTTTCACTCATCAGGCATCTTTTTAGTTTTAAAAATAATATTAAAGAGTTTATTAAGCCTGGAAACTCATAAATCTCCAAAATATTTTTACACTTCAATTGGGATACCATCAGGTCCAACTGATTTCCCCCCTTGGTTTTCTTTAAAATCTCTTGAACTTCTTTTTTAATAATGTTACGGTAAGAATAAAATGTTTTATTATTATTATTAACGATATTATGATCACAAAGGTTGGTCATACTTTCAGAAACTTCATTAAACGTTTATCAAAATAGCTCAACCACCTATGTTTAATATCTTCATATAAGAAAAACACTTTTTAATTTTTATTTTTAATACACTTGAACTAAATATTCACATTTTTTTTGTTTGGCTAGTTTATACATATATTTTTACCTTCTTTATTATCTAATTTGTTATAAAAATCACTAACAACAGAATTTTAGCGTCACAAATTGTTTACTTAGAAACCCTAAGGGCCACCTTATATTTTTCTCGGTTCTCTAATCTTTTACGTTTAAACCAGTATTTATAATACAAATTTTTATATTTATCTTTTTTTAGCACATTATTATTCTACCAACAATTATTTTTATTTAGAAATATTTTTCCTTTAGAATCTCTAAGTACATATTTTTGTCACTTGTTTAAAAGTGTTTCTTACTTTATCCCACATAGAATTCACTTCTTGATCAACATCGCAAATCTTTAAATATTGAAGTTTACTCAGAAAAATAATTACTTGTATTTTAGGTGCCCTCATCTAATTTTATGACGATGTTTGCTTGTATTTTTTATCTTGCAACTCTTCATCTTAAAATCGATAACTAATAATTGATGTTGAGTACTTAAATTTTCACTTGGAATGACCTTCCAATCTTTGCACTCCTGACGATCACTTTTCCTCATAAGAAAATAATCAATTTGTGTTTTATTAGATTCACATTCTAATAAGTAATAATATGTTCATCTTTTTCTCAAATAAAGTATTACTACAACAACACAACAAAGTCTTAATCCCACTGAGTGGGGTCAGCTATATGAATCCCTTTTTCTCCATTGAGTCCTATTTAGTGTCATATTTTCATTTAATTCTAATAAATTAAAATCATTCTTTATACAATACGCCTAAGTTTTCCTTGGTCTACCTCTGCCTTTTTTAATATAAGTTGAATATAAAATATCTACTCTCCTAATTGAATCATCAGAAGGTCGACGTTTAATGTGACCAAACCATCTAGATCGACTCTCTCGAATTTTGTCTGTCATTAGAGCTACACCAACCCAATCACGAATATATTCATTTCACATGTTGTCTCTAAGTGTAAAGCCACTCATCCACCTAATCATTCTCATATCGGCAACACTTAACTCAGTATTATGCTTCTCTTTTAAAGACCAACATTCAGAGCGCCACAGAGCATTGTAGGTTTCACCACCATCTTATAAAATTTTCCTTTCAGTCTAAGCAGTAATTTTCTATCACACAACTCCACTTCAACCGACCAACTTGAATTCTACTATTAACACCCCCATCTATATCACCATCGCTTTAAACAATAGACCTGAGATACCGAGATCGATCACTACTTTTAATAATTTGATCACCCACACCCAAAGTTACATAAAGTTACATTTTTGTCACTAGAGCTACTACTAATAAAATTACATTCCATGTATTCAGTTTTGGTTCTACTCAAATGAAGATCTTTAGACTCCAATGTAGACCCCCACAATTCAAGTCTTTCCTAGGTTTTTTGTCTCGTCCTATCCACGAGAAAGGATATCATCAGCAAAAAGCATACACTAAGGTACATCCTCCAGTAAATGTCCAGTAAAACCATCCATAACTAAAGCAAAGAGATATGGGCTTAAAGCTGATCCATGATGTAATCCAACAGAAATAGGAAATAATTTGGCCAATCCTCCCTCTGTTCGAACACAAGTAACAGTTGTAGCATATATATCTTTAATGACTTGAATATAAGTTGACATAGGTAATAGCTGTAGTATATATATCTTTAATGACTTGAATATAAGTCATATCAACGCCTTTCTTCTCAAAAACTCTCGAAAGGATATCTCGTGGAACCTTATCGTAAGCTCTTTCTAAATCAATAAAAATCAAATGTAGATCCTCCTTATTATCTATGAATTTTTCCATCAAACCTCTCAATAAATGTATAGCTTCCATGGTAGACCTGCCCGACAAAAATCAAAATTGATTATGAGAAATTTTTGTAAAACGTCTTAACCTTTGTTCAATTACCCTTTCCCATAATTTTAAAATATGACACATCAACTTAATTCCTCCATAATTTGCACACTCTTGTGCATCTCCTTTATTCTTAAAAATGGGTACCAAAATACTCTTCCTCCACTCCCCGGGCATCTTTTTAGTTTTTAAAATAATATTAAAGAGTTTAGTAAGCCAAGAAACTCTCAAATCTCCTAAATATTTCCACACTTCAATAGGGATACATCAAGTCCTACACACTTTCCGCCCTTTGTTTTTTTAAAGCCTCCTCAACATCTTTTTTACTAATGTGACAGTAAAAACAAAATATTTTATTATTATTAACGATATTAAGATCACTAAGGTCGATCGTATTTTCAGAAACTCTATTAAAAACGTTATCAAAATAACTCACCCACCTATGTTGAATATTTTTTTTTGTTTAAAGCACATTCTGATTTTCATCTCTAATACACTTTATTTGGGTTAAATCTTTACTTTTCTTTTCTCTTAGTTTGGCTAGTTTATACATATATTTTTCACCCTCCTTAGTATCTAATCTATTATAAACTATTATAAAGATCATTATAAAGATCATTAAAAATAAAATTTTTAGCATCACAGATTGTTCTTTTTGACACCCTGTGAGCCGTTTGATATTTTTCTCAGTTCTCTAAGCTTTGACATTTAAACCATTTTTTATAACATAACTTCTTATATTTTATCTTTTCTTGCGCATTATTATTCCGCCACCAACTATTTTTATTTATAATTTTTTTTTCTCTTGATTCTCTGAGTACATCTTTTGCCACTTGTTTAATCGTGTTTGTTATTTTGTCCCACATAGTATTAGCTTCATAAATAAAGTATTAGCAATAACAAAATCATACGCTAAAAAAAATTTAATATGGTTCTACATTCTTCATTAATCACTCCAAAGTCACAGCCACCATGAATAATTCTAAAATCTTTCCACTCTACCAGTATGTTCATTTAAATCCCCTCTAATAAAAATTCTTTCTGAAATGATACAGTATACATTCTTCATTAATCACTCCAAAGTCACAGCCACCAAGAATAATTCTAAAATCTTTCCACTCTACCAGCATGTTCATTTAAATCCCCTCCAATAAAAATTCTTTCTGAAATGATACAGTATTAATTCTTCTAAGTAATTCTAGAATTTTTCTTTTGAACATATATTTGAACCTACTTGAGGAGCATAAGCACTTATAGCATTAAAAATCTTAGTATCAACAACAACCTTTATGGCTATAATTCTATATACAATTTTATTTTTACAAACTCTTATCTAATTACACGTACACCCTTTCTAATGACTCTAACCTGAATACCAAAATTTAAAACCTATGCTATCAATCACTTTAACATTTCTCCAACCCATTTAGGTTATTGATTACATAAGATATTTATTTTGCTATGAACTATAATATCATCTAGTTCCAATATTTTACCTGTGAGAGTACCTATAAGATCATAGCCTCATATTAGTTTCATGGACAAACTTCTTTACCCACATTCGCTCGTAATGTGGGAACGTTTTACTTATTTGACACTACACCCAAGACCCAGTGTAACTCAATTTATAAAAAACTATATAAATTGTGTAACAACTGAAAACCTTTTATCAAAGTCCGGAATCTGTCATCTCATTCTAAGGATATCTATCCAACTTGAACTATAGTATCAAAAGGAAAACATTATTTTTATGCTCATATTGCCGTGATAGCATATCATTCGTTGGCCAAAAACCAAAGTTCTTGATACAAATAACAATTTGTTATCATTTTAAGAAAACAAATTCTATAAACCTACCATGAAGCATACTTCAGTAACAAGTGGTCTTATTAAAAATAGAGAACATTACATGCCTAGCATACAATCCTAATGTAAACCTATGCATGAAAAAATTGATTTCACTTTTAAAAAGTGGCAATAGTACTACTTTTTATGTGATATTAATCATTTGAGTTCTATGTGTGCAAATATAAAAATTTAGGTGTGAGGTATGGAAATACATAAGAATTGTGTGATATGTAAATGTCCCTAAAAAATATACCATTAAGTGCAAGGAAATTACGTGTAAATAAAATTGCAAATCAGTTAAAGTACCTGATCCCCATCAGTTTTCCGAACAAAGTACATTGCAGATTCTGTATGTTGTATCCAGTGTATGACCTTGCTATATTTTTCTCTGGTCGTACCACCCAATTGCAAATGTGCAATTAACTGATCACTGTCTATAAAAGTGAAAAGTTTAGTTCATGCTGCTACAATGGTTACATTCAACATCGTGACACATCAATAACTACCTATAAAAGAAGGTGAGATTGGAATGACAGCAAATTCAACGTTCACACATCAGCAAGAATTAACATTTCAACTGATGGGATATAACTTATTTGATAATGCGGCCAGAATGTAAAAATTATACAGAGAACTGTACAGCGGTTGACAATTAATTACAAGTGACGAATATTTAAACACGTGTATAAAATAAAGCAAAATCATAAGCAATGATTAATTTTTGCCTTCATGTATTTGCTGTTTCACAAAGTATTGCTTCATAAAGATACCGTTTTAAGGAACATGTCTCTAGCAAAGTCCCCCATCATCAGTAATTTGTTCTAAGCTAAAAAAGCAACCGCACTTGAGAAAGCCTTTTTTTTTTAGAAAAAGAAAATACAAAAAATGATTCTAGTTAACCTATCATCATTTATTTGTACTGAAACAAAAAGGCACTACACGCCTAGACATAACATAGGGAATTTGGATTAAAAGAAATAGTCAGCTAAAGACCCAATGAAAATAACCCTTAATTTTTTCTGTTTCAGCACAGGTAACGAATAAGATCATATAAAAACTAAAGTAATAACCTTGAATACACGGCTAGCAGCTTTCTACTCGAAGCATTCTAGAAATTCATGGGCAACAACATTCAATTATTACTATGTTGTTGATTCTAAATTCTAAAATTACGGACTAATTTTCAGCTCTAAGGCTCAATGTTACTAAATGCGTACTTCTCAAGCAAAGTGAAGAGAAGTGTGTGATGCTCATTTCATTTTGCTTCAGGGGCGTTTCTAAGCAATGAAGTTAACTTGAAGATTTTTTTAATAATTTTTAAGTTTTTAATTATTGTAGCAAACTATTAAAAAATTATTCGAAATTTTAATTTGCAAATTTACCATTAATATTTGCCTCCAAGTTATGTATTGTACTCTTTTTTTTTTCTATTTCATATCAATTTTTAAGTAATACTTTATATTTTATAATTGTCAATTAATGTATTCATATATTATTAGTTATGTATAACATATTTGCGTTTTGGTTAATAAAAACACCATTTCACTCTACGCTTTGATGCAAAAATAAAGTCTTGTGCATCATTGTACATTGCACTTTGATAACACTGGATGTGTACTGTTTGAATAAAAAAAAATCTAAATTAACTTTATTTAATTGGTAATGATTCAGTTGTTGTTAAAGTATCTGTTGAAATTCAAAATAATGTAGAATATTTTATTGATATTAAAGGGATATAAATAACTCTTACTTGAATCCTAGAACAGGAAAAAAAATAAAAAACATAATAAGAAATGAAAGATATAACACCTAATATCTTTAATTAATCAATTCATATTAATTATTTGGAGATAAATGAAAAAACATAAAATAGGAAAGCCTGAAATAGGAAAGAGAATAAATCTAGTCCAAGAAGATAAATCTAAAATAGAAAAGTAAATAAAGTTATATTAATATATCTAATCTTCATAAATTCGAATAGAAATAAATTATTTCATAATATAACTTCTAACGCTTTACTTCAAATTGAAACACGATTGAAAATCATATTCAATTTGGATTTGAAAACATCAAACAATGGGCAAAGAAGATCCTGTGAAGTAGAAATTGAAGTTTTCATCCCGTCCTGCGGTAATTTTTTACTGCAGTTCCTGCAATGTCTGTAAGTAGGCGGGAAGTTTTTTCATGTAATGCTGCAGAGAAGTTTGCAGGGACGTAGATAACTGTGGATGTCTTTGACTGCAATTATTGCAGTGTTTTTATAGGTAGGAGGAAGAATCCTACAGGTAATATTGCGGAGGAGTTTGCAGGAAAGTAAAAATTATGGTTGTCTTTGACAGCAATTCCCATAGTATCTGTAGGTAGGCGAAAGACTCCTATAGATAATGTTTTATAGGAGTCTGCAGAGAAGTAGACAACCTGCAGAAAAAGCTAACTTCTAGTTGATTGCGGTTGTCATTGACTGCAATTTCTGCAGTGCCTGTAGTTAGAAAAATTGCAAAGTAGTTTGTCAGGAAGTAGACAACCTGCAGGCAAAAAAAAAAAAAGATAGAGTCTGCAAAAAGGGTTTTTAGCGATGAGGGCCTGTAACAAGATATTGTCCTTTGCAAAATAGATTGGTGACAGAAAAGATTTCCGGCAACAGAGAAAAAAGGGTTGCAACCTGCAGCAAGAGAACTGGTTACCGTTGTTGTTGCTAGACAGAAGAGTTCCCGCAAAAATTTTTGTAGGGAGAGTCCTGGTGGCAAAGAAAACACAGATAAGGATCTGCATGGAGATTTCAAGCAGTTGGGAAGAAACCGATGGAGAAGGGCATGTAGGTCGGCTCTGGGATTCCATCAAAGATACACCCCGTCTCCGTCTATAATAGCTTTTTTCAAGTCATTTTGCAAGCAAACCAACAATGAACTCCCTCGTAACAAGCTTACCTTCGTTTCCACAATCCAAGCATGTGAAATGGTGAAGGGCGCCACGGAGGCGGCTGCAACAGCAACTTCCTGCACGAAGGAATAGCAGTTGAACTTGGAGGGGGAAAATAACAAAAATAGCTCCTCTCCTCTGTCCACTTTTGCTGCAAAAACATGTTTGGAAAAATAACTTCTCCTCTTCGGTTGGGAGTGCCACTGGAGAGAGAAAGTCTCGCTCTTTGAACATTGGTGGCGGCTCTCCAATTGGGATTTCGACAAAAGAGAGCAAATCACAACAAAGAAATTTTGCTGACAGAGAAAGCTGCAAGAGAAAGGGTCGCTGGAAACGCAGCTCCCCCTCACGCCTGCAATATGAAAGGAAAAATATTATAGAAGAAAGGGTCGGCAATGGATCAGGCTGCAGGAACCAATGCTGGATTTTTGGGGAAGAACAGTAGGAAGCAACGGGAAGCAGCACTAGATTTCAGAGAAAGTTGTATTGTTTCCTACAACTCGGAAGAACAACAGAGAAAAATTGTTTTGTTTCCTGCGAGAAAGTCCTCCGGGTAAAAACAACGGGAAGGTTTTACAGGAAAGAATTGAAGAAATGTCCTTCGTCTTGGAGGACAACAGAGAAGCCATTGGCGCAGAACTCATCAGAAAAGGGTCGCCTGTGAGAGGGAGAGCAGGCCGACAATAGACCGATAGAAATCTTGTCGGGAGAGGCCGCCTTTTAGAGGGTGGCAGTAATCCAAAGTTGGTTACCCACACAATATACCCGAGGATCTCAAGGATGAAAAGGTGAGCATTTGGTCGGTTCGGATGCATCTGTTTTAAAATTTGTCAAACCGATAAGAGCCAAAATCTATAATTGAGAAACCGAACCAATCTAAATTTAGATAAAACCAAACCACCCGAACTAAAATTTAATTCGGTTCAAACGATCCGGTTATGAAAAAATGAAAATTTAATTGTTTATTAAATTTTGGCTAAAAACAAACATTATAAATCACATATTTTATTCACATAATATCGACTTAATTTCATGAATCCTCTATTTATTTCAATCAAATATTACATATAATAATTTTTTGATTTTTTTAACTTATTCCACATGAAATTAAAAAATAATAAAATTTTTTAATAAAAATTTGGTTTTTTGGTTAAATGAAAATTAGAAAACCGAAGACCAAAAAACAAAAAGCAAATATTGAAGCTTTAAAAATCTAAAATCGAAATCCAATTTTAAAATCGAACTAAATCAACCAAACTTGATTGGTTTGGTTCAGTTATTTGGTTTTGACCAAATAATGCACGCCCCTATAAGGACGCTGTCACTCTAGAAGCTCTCCAATCTCGCGACAACAAGGACCAAGACTGGAAGGGATCAACTCTTCAACGGAGGGAGGTCTGATGGCTAGAACTACCTACCGGAAAGATCAGCGGCAACAACCGTTAGAAAAACGGTTGAGAAGAGGGGAATCGACAGTAGTTATGCAATAGTTCCCTATGAAAAAAAACGTCGGCAACTAGGGGAACCGACGGCTATAGATCTACACGAAATATATGCAATCGTTCTTTATGAAAAAAAGATTGTTGGGCAGCCAACAACAGAAAATCCTCCACGGAACAAATCACTACGGGAAGAACAATAGTAGGAAATTGTCGCTTGCTTTCTGGAAGTCGGCAGAGTCGAAGCTCCCAACACTAGAAGGGACAGCCGACAAGCCAAGCCTGCAAGAGAGAAGAAACAAAAGTCGTTTCAAAAGTCAAGATGAGTATCCCTTCCCCCCCGCACAGAGGATGGCAGGAAGGGAGTCCGACCATTCTGGAAAGAGGACCAGTGGCTAGGGTACAAAATTAAGCTCTGATACCATGTTGAAATTTAAAATAATGTGCAATCATTTTATTGATATGACGGGACCCTTGCATGAATCCTATAACAGGAAATATAATAAAAAAATAATAGGAAAAAAAAGATATAACATATAATATCTCCAATAAATCAATTCATATTTAATTATATGGAAATATGTGAAACAACATAAAATAGGAAAGGAAATAAATCCAATCCAAGAAGATAAATCTAAATAAGAAAGAAAATAAAGTTATATTAAAAAATAAATCTAATCCTCATAACTTCCAACGGGAACAAATTTTTTCCTAATACAGCTTCTAACAGTATCAATTATCTTATTGTTATAATTTGGGCTTTTATTAGATTTTGGCTATTGGTTTGATTGTTGCTTTAGTAAAATAAATCAAACTACAACAGATCAAATTCAACTCTTCAAATATTAAATCAATAAGTGGCATACATATCAAAAAGGATATTATATATTCCGCAAGACAAAGCTATATATTTTTAACAAATATTAATTGATATTCTTCTAAATAACTGTTATTTAAGCTAAATTTAATTAAACTCATTGTTAAAGTGAATTACAACTTGGTTCATCCAAAGACAAAACTGAACCCATTGAGTTAAAATTCACTCTGATTTGATTTAATTTGATAATAATTTGGAT